ATGTTATAAAAAACAGTTAAATTTTGTTTACATTGTAATAAAACTGTTTTGGCGACAACGTTACCGAGACCTCTCTACAGCGCAAAATAAACTATAGTGCAGAGTAGTGATAAGTGACAGCATACCTGGCGGACTAACCACCTGTTAATAGGAAGCACCTTACGTGAAGAACAAACGAGGCTAATCAAGAGTGAAAAAAATCGATAAGTACTTATAATTATAATTAACCGCATGACCTAATAGGCAAATTTGCAACAAAAACCACAAAACCTTTACTACTGTAAGTGCTATTCTTTTCGCCACTAGAAAAATAAACAAATATAACATTTACTGGAATAGCAGAGCAGTACAAATAAACCAATAACACTACGTAACAAATATTAACTTTTGTTTTGTTTAATGTGTATTTTTGTTTTTTTTTGTATTATTTGTGTGCCAAATATTCATTTTAACTTAATACAAAAATTCTAGATTCTAGAAAAAAAAATTGCAGTTTTCAATTAAAAGTTTTATAAAAAAAAGTAATAAATTAATCAGGTTTGTGCCAAAAAATATATTGAACATGAAAAAAATTAAAAAGTTACAAAAAAAATAACTTTTTTACATTGATTTACAGATTTAAGCTTTAAAATGCGACTTTTTTTATATTGGCCACATCCATCTTGATAACGCCTTTCCATTGCTATAATATCTTGATGGAACCTTTCCCCATGTTCCTTGATTACGACTCTAAGGTTTTTACGAAACAAATTTAGATGGGATGCAATAAATTAATTTTGATTGACATGCGACATCCCATATTTTTAAAAGCTATTAATAAATCTTCAACAACTTCCACATAGTTGTGGGTTTTGTTATTTCCCAGAAAACACTTTGTGATGGCGCGAAATGCTCTCCAAGCCTTTTTTTCACTTTCAGCCAGTTTATTTTTAAAGTTTTCGGACAATAAGCTGGAGACAGAACTATCAATAAATAAACGCCATTGCTTAGTATCATGAACTATTCCAATTTTGTTAAAAAGTCCATTGACGCACAAAAGCAATTATCATCTTGCACAGAATAAAAACCGGAATAATTTTGATGACGTTTACGATAGGAATATGTACAGCCCTTGTTGAAAAGGTTCCGCGTTTAAGCCGCGATACAAGAATTTTAGGTTTTTCTTTTGTAAGACCTAGATCTCTTACCAAATCGTTTAAGTCTAGTTGTCTTACAAAATGTGGCTCACCTTCGGGTATATGGTTCGTCTATTTCCGATTTAATTTCTTCCATTTCTGATTCTTTGTGCTGTTTAATTGGTGCACTGGTAGACTGTAAGTCCGGATAACACATATTTTTTCGATTAGAAGATTTTTTATAGGTTTCGACAAGACAAAATTAACAATCTGTGACATGATTGTTGGGCTTCCTCCAAATTGTTGGAATGCCAAACCATACCATGCCTCAAGAGTTGATCGACAGCTGCCACAAATTACATTTGGTGTCCAATTGTTGTCTAAGTTGGCGAAAGACATGCCAAAATAACATTTATAGGCGTCCCAAAGCTTTGTATTCTGCACTATTTCAAATTTTACTTGTTTTTTTTTATATGTAGTGACCACAAACATAACAAAAACTATCTCGAGGATGCTTGCAAATTTGTCTGGGTTACATTTTAAATAAACATAATATAACATAAAATACATATCAGTTGGGTCTTGACTCTTGAAGTGTAAGGACGCTCAAATATAGTTAACGAGACCTCTCCTAAGCAGCGTATACGATACAAACGTAGTAAAGTATCAAAAGCGAATCCAAGTATGCGGAAATACCAGTAATCGGTAATAAATAAATAAATAAACAAACAAGTGCGAAAAGTGCGCCATAAAATAACAAAAAATCAATATCGATTCTACACGTGATAACTGGTTGACGCCGTAAAATAATAAAAAATCAATATCGATTCTACACGTGATAAATGTCCCAAGTGCAAAAGAGTGCAAATTATGTGTGGTACCTCCCCCTGGACTAAGTCCTCAAGTGTTTGACCTGGTTAAAAGGTGTGAGAGATAGGATCAGTTCCAATGAAAATTTCCTGGGCTACCACACGTGCGGGCGGCATGCGATAAGGATCAATTTCAGCACACCTGCCTGGGAAATATCCCGAAGTCCAAGTCTGCATAAACTAGATAAGTAGCTACCAAATTGCATGACCATGGCCACCCAATAATATTAATAACAGTTAATACGAAATACGCAACCTTTAGCTAACAATAATTCTTCAGGTAAAATTAATTAGTCGCAAACAATTTCCAAGATTCTCATGCAAATGAAACAGTAAAAAAAACTATAAACACAAGGGCACATAAGAAGCCATTAATCACTCAAGTTACGATAAACATTAGGCAAAAGAAACCATCCTAAAGAAATTTATTTATTTATGTTTACATCTATAGATTACTAAGACGTAAGGGGTCATAAATTAAGTAAAAACCGTTCTAAGCGTAATAGCCGCAATGCACAGTGAGGCACAAAGATGGACCCAACCCCAAGTGAATGGGGATCACGCACATTGGGAAAAAAATAATAATTCGAGGGTCGACAATTCCAGTAGGTTAAACGAATTTCCACATAGTCAGAGGGCACTAATTACGGCGGGGTACGGCCGGCAACACTTCGGTTCTGAAGATAAGACTCAATATCGCACAGGGGGGCAAACAATTCTAAAGCGGCTATCAGGAACCGAAATCCGACTCGGACAGCGACGAACAGGAAGTACACCATCAAGGAAAGGCGCTAGCAGCATACTAATCCACCCACCCCCATACAGGAATACCAAATGAATGGGGTTATTACTAAAGCCCTGGTTGAGGAGGATTCCGGATTGTACTTAGTTTTGGGTCAGTTTGATGTCCTCCAAAAACCCTTCCTAAACTGGACGTATGGCCCGACCCGGCTGACAAAAATCCGTGGAGCGGTCTTAACCTTTGACACTGTCATCCACGACCTCCTAGGGTGGATCTACCAGCCGGCGTAAAAACTTCGGATCCAACAAACACAGGTAATGCTGTGATTTGGCGGGATACGCAGGAGAACGGAAAGGGGGTAAAATAACCCCGGGAGATTAGTGGAGGATAATATATTTGGGGCCTGCCATACGTTCCCATACTCATACTCATAACATAAAATACATGTCAAAAAGACCAAAACAACATAAAATAGCTGTTAGGTTTAGATTTGACTGCTTGATAAAAACAAAGGATAAAATGTCATCAGGATCATAGCCTATTACGTTTGGCATAATAAAATACATGTAAACAAATATCATGTTACATAGTGTAATCAAGTGAGAACATTACAAAACACATACAAAAATAAACATCTGACACTTAAAAAGACAGGCAATAAATTAAGAAATTAAGAACCCGTATAAAGGGCTAAACTGATGACAAATTAATGAATTACCCACAGTGGGGTATAATAATTTGTGTATACCTGTTAACTAAACTTTCAGTAAAATAATTACAGACTTAATATGGTTGAATCTTCCTTGAAGTCAGAACTGACAAAGGACAAGATGTAGACTACGACTAGGAAATAAAGACTACTGCAAACTAACAACTCCCCAACTGCCGGTACCGGTCAAGGGGGATTCTGCGTCGTATACAGATTTGAGTCAGCGTAATTGTCCCCCAAAACCAAAAGGTCCATTCCCCGTCCCCGGCTTGGCGAAACCGGAAGGAGTTATTACAAACTAATGGCAGGTTGCCCTAGAGCCCCAAATAGGGTTCAGTATAGGCTGTGAACATTCGCACCCAGCTACACGGGTGAAGCCGTGCAGTTGCTGGTGGCGAAAAAAACGGCGTACAGTAACGGATGCTCTCGCGGGCCTTGGGAGAGATGAGATGACTCTCATAATTATACTCATTGTAAAAAAACTTGTGTTTAAACATGAATTAAAAAAACCACTGTTACTGTTAAAATATGTTTCACAAGGGACATATTGGGTGGTCACTTTCTTTGAATGTTTAGCATATGGTTTTTTTCACAGATTACTAGTGTAAGCAATACTTATGTATGTATATCTTTACAGTTAGTTGATTTTATATCATTGGCACAGCAAGTTGTTTTTTTTTTAACTTTGTTCCACATTTCTTTTCGTTTCTGTACTTTTACACTTTTATTTTTTATAATAATTCCAATTAATATTTAACAGTTACTTATTGTTTAAACATGGGAAAAAATTGTAATTGTTTAAACAGTTTTATAAAAATGTCAAAAGTTTTTGTTGAAAATGCTAAAAAATCTTATTGAAAACTGTTAAAACCCTAACAAAATTTTTGAAAAGCAGTAAAAACATTGAAAACCTTGTTTAAAGAATGCAAAGTATAAAAAATACTGTTAAATATTGTTTAACCCTGTAAAAACTTTATACTGTATAGTTTATATAACTTGGTTAAAACTGTATACAAGAAACAGTTTAAAACCGTTGAGTAAATGTTAAAACCTTATTGAAAACTGTTAAAACCATAAACACAACTGATGAAATTATTTAAATCTTGTAAAAATATGTTTGGCAAAAGTAATAAAAAACAGTTCTATTTTAGTTAAATTGTAAAAAAAACTTTTTTAAACAATTTTAATTAAAAAAACTGTAAAAAAATGAAATTGTTAAAACAGTTTCAAACCAGTTAAAGAGCTTTAAAAATCTCTGCTAATAATACTAAGGAAACAGTTAAAAATGCCTGAACAAACTTGTAAAAACAATGTTTTAATTGTTAAAACAGTTATAAATTAACTAAAACTATTAAAAAAACTGCTAAGAAATCGATGTTAATTACTAAAAAAAAACTAATGAAATTTTTTTAAACCCATTAAAACTAAATTATTTGAAAAGCAGTAAAAAGCTTTGAAAAATATGTTTGTCAAATCTGGAAAAGCTCTGTTAAAAATACTAAAAAACAGTTATAAACTAACAAAATAATTAATTTTAATTAAGATATTTTTATCTATGTGCTTACCAAACAATGTTCAATGTGATTGGGGCACATCCAGCGCCCGGAGGGGGGTGTAGTCAATGGGGGATCCAAGCAATCCAAATGATAGTAGAGCGGGCAAAAATCGCAGGCAATCAACGGAGAAATGCGACACGATTTCCGACACTCGTTGCATTTTTTCGACGGCAGGGGGATGATTCCACCCGGAGTCCGCTCATGATCCGGTTTCGAGGCTTTGGAAGTCGTTCGACGGCCTGTCCTGGAGTACGGAATCTCAACTAAAAAGGAATATTGAAATTGTCCAAAAACTGTTTAAAACTGTAAAAAACCTTGAATTAACTGTACAATTTTTAAATCGATTTCTCACCTTTATCAGTGCCGGGAAATATACAGGGTATGCTCATACTTCTGGGCAGCTCAAACTGCCTTGGATTCATCGAATTTGCTGCTTCAATTAACATCTCGATGGCGCTCAGCTTCACCTTTTTCGCTGGCGGCTTGCTGCAGCTAATCGTGCTACTTTCGGTGGGCATAGAGCTCGATCGCTTGCTGCGCAGCTGCGGCAACGTTTGCGACTGCAGCTGCGCAGATTGTTGCCTGGTCGTCGTGACAGGAGGTGGTTGGGTTTGGAGCTGTTGAAGCTGTTTCGTTTTAGAGTGTATGCACGAGTGGCAGAGCCATTCGCCGCGAGGGATGTCTGTTTCTTCCAGTGGGGGGTCACTTTAACAAGAACAAATTTAAAGATATACGAAAAATTCTTTACTTACAGACAAGTAAACCTGTTTTAATTAAAAATACTGATATAAATAAACAGTTTCATTGTAAAAAATAATTAAAAAAGCAAAAATATCATAATTGCAAAAACAGTTATAATAGCTTATTGAAAATGTTGCCAAATATTATTTAGACAGTAACAAAGATACAGCGTCAAAAAGTCGTCAAAAATGACCATTTTTCAGCAAAATAATTAAAAAGGGGTAATTTTTTCCGATTTGAAGCGCTGTATCTTTGTTGCTGTTCGTTTGATTTGTACAAATTTTTTAGGGTATACTAACGAAAATACGGTCTTTAACACCATATTTTTAATTTACTTAAAAAAAATTCTCTAAAAGTTATTTTTAGAACGTTTTTTTATTATTTAATTAAAGGCCTAAAAAATATTTTTTTGAAAAACCCTCAAACACGTAAACATAAGTTGAAGTATTTTTAAACACAATATCATAAAGATTGGTAAAGGCGTTTTAGAGTTAGAATTTTTGTACTTATTATGCGTTAATTTTGTCGGGCAGTGTATTTCTTTCTATTATATTGTTTTAACCCATCTTGTAATTGGGCTTTCGCCTGTTGGAGTTGTACTTGTAAATAAATGAATAAATAAACACATATTGGTAAGAAATCGTTTAAAAGTAATGAAATTGTAAAAAAAAATAAAAGTTAAGAAAACTGTCAAAATACTTAAACTAAAAATACTAGTAAAATCATTTCTAAAACTGTTTTTGACATGATAATTTTCATTGCTAAAACTCTTTAAATATAAAATTTTGTTAAAAACTGGCTTAAACCAAAAAATTTATAAAAACATTGTAAAAATAATTAAACTAAACTTAAAAAATTGATAAATTGTCCAAAACTGCTTAACAACTCAAAAATGTGAAGAAATGCAATTAAGTTGCTTTAATACTTACTGGCAAGTCAAATGAAAACTGGAGGGACATTTGTCGCAACAAATCAGGTCTCCTCCTTCACCACAAGCGTCACAGCTGTCGTGATTGTGACCTTTGCCAGGCCGTTTAAAGTATGGATGTTCAGTGGACTTTTTTGACTCCTTCTCGTCGCTCTGGGGAGGAGCTATCAGAGCTTGGATTTGCTAAAAGGAAAGAGTAAATGAGTAAAATTTTGTTAAATACGTATCTATTATACTATTATATTTTTTTAAATAGGGTTAAAAAGTTAAAAATACTATTGAAAGTTTTATGCTGTCCGCTCTCTAAAATATAAATTACTTTTTTTCTTGAGAGCGCAAAAATAAACTGGTCCGGAGGTACTGAATTTTCATGACGGATGGTTAAAATAATTATAAAAATAAGTATGTGTTAGATATCTAGAAATTTTGCCTGAACAAATCAATAGTGCAAAGAATATAATATACACAAAACAATTAGCTAAAAAATAAATTATATTAATTAATTAGTGATTTTAAATAATTTGAAAATACAAATAAAATGGAATATGAATGATTCAAGAAAAATTGGAAAATAATTGAAGTATAAGTCAAAGTATTAAAGAAACTAAGGGTAAACAAAAGTTGTGTGTGATGATTAAATTAATTTATCTACGCCAGTGGGATAAGAACTTCTTATCCCACTCATTTTGAGTGAGATAAGAAGTTCATTAACGCACGCGTTTTTCTCTGCTTTTAACCAATTAAATAAAAAAGTCAAAATGTCAAAATAACCCTAAATTAAGTCTTAGAAAAAATAATTACCGTTTATTTTTTCATTTAGAGGCGTAGATAAAAATTTGTACAATATACGTGTGATAACGCTTTATTAACGTACTTTTGCGATTGCCCAACTCGTGCTACGCACTCGTTGGGCAAATTTCGCATGCGTACGTTAATAAAGCTCTTATCCCACTTACATCGTAAATAACTATTGTACAATAGAAAATGTATTAAAATTTATTAAGTGTGTTATAGCAAAGTTTCTTTTTATTAAGAAGTGATAGTGATAGAAAATAGACATATAAACTAATATAATAATATCAGTTTATTCGTCTCCAAAAACTTTACAGGTTTACAGAGAGACACCTCTAAATAAAATGTGGTTATAAACAAGAAGAATAATATTATAAATATATAAATCAAGGGATGACTTAAACTTATTATCTTAATTTTGATATCCTTGATCAATTTTTAAAACATAATGCGCTGGCAAAATTCAAAAAATCTGAAAAACCTACGGAGTAGTAAAAGTTCGTGTTAAGGTGCCAGCGGGCATATCGTTGCTCTATGAGTCCAGGCCCACTTTAAACCGAATTATCTTTATCGGATTTAGCATTAATTAAGCATAGAAAACAAAATGTTATTATTTGTTAACTTCTGAATTACATCTGCTACTTTCCGAATGTCATTTGCAATATCTGAAAATCAATTGCAACTTTCTGAATACCAATTGCTACTTTCTAAATATTAACTGGAAAAATTGTAGATCAAGAAGACTAAATAATAAAGGAGCAACTCTTGACCACAAGGCTTAATATATTACTACAAAAAGCTGCCATCCAATGCTGGCTGGGTAATTTGCAATACCTACAATCACAGACTGTGCGCACGAGCATTTTGCGCATCTTTCATTACTACTAAAGTACGTACTAGGCTCCACACCCAAAAGTCCCTCTTTTACATTTGAATACAAATAGTTAAGGTTATCTATCTGTCACCTATGTATTTTTTGTGTATAAAGGTCTTAATTTAGAAAACAAAAAGTACATGTATGTAACGCAATCTGAGAAAACGAACCTCGGGTCCAAAAAATTATTTTCGAGATGATTATTGTTTTAAATGGATTGGTAGGTACATGAAAAATTCAATGATTTGTTAATCTTAAAAATTGACAATGCTACAAATTTACAAACACCTATGCTGCGCAAACTTCAATTGCCTCTCCTGTTAAATTTTATTTTTGTACCTAAGGTTTGCTTTTTAGAAGCATATTTTGTATTATTTTCAAAAAATAAGACAAAATTGCTGTTTTTTTTTTTAATTAATTGTAATTAAATGTCAAGGTGGGCATTTGTGTGGAGCATAGTACATTTTTTGACGTGTCCCCACCTAGCAAGTTACTCCTCCTGTCAAAAAACATGTCTTTTTGTACAACCAGTTGAAAATGACGAGGGCCTCACAATAAACCCTACCCACACTTTATTGCTTTTATATATAGGTATATAAATTTTAAGTTAAACTAGTATATTTAATAAAAATAAATATTATTATTTATACCTGATATTATACTATAGCTTTATTTGTATTTCTGTGTTACATCAGGCCTATTTGATTTTTATTTACAAAATTGCAGTCCCACTGTTAAATGGATTATTTGGTATAAAATTAAACATTTATTTGTAGTATAAGGTTAGGTTCCCTTCATAACAAAGATGTACTTTATAACCCCAAAAACAATGTTTGCAGTGTAAATATCCGTATATTATCGTGGACATGGTTGTTTTATTGTCGATTTTATTAAATTTATGTCATTTTTGCAATGCAAAAATACATAATAAGCAAATTCCGCCATTTTATCACAAACCATAAAATTGAACCAAAATAGCACTTACATCCATTAAACCGCCACTGGTGTCTAGATCATACTCTACTGTGGACATTTTGATTGTTTTCGTGCAAAAAATCCACTTTTTTAAGCAAAAATAACAATTTTTTGTGTCCAGAAAATCCCACCAAATAATTTGGTTATAATTGTTGTAATCTTCGATATTATCGTCCTGATTTTACACAGTTTAATCCCTAATCTATTTATAACAATATTCACTATATTTTTCAATCATTTCGCTTAAATCGGTATATTAAATGCGAGGATAAAATATTTGCAAATATTTACAAAAAAATATGTTTTGACATTTCACGTAGTTGGCGCCGATGCTATGAAGTTTGCGCTTGCGCTGCTAACTTCACTTGGAGGGCGGTAAATTTAAACATAAATTTAAATTTCTATGCCGCTCCCGATGCGGGACTTTTCGATTCTAATTTTACGATTTTATGTCATTGTTACGATAAAACTAAAACAAACTATCCAACCCTACCCAACACCCAGCTCAAAACTTTTCAACTAAGGAATACGTACCTATTTATTTAATTAGTTATGATAGAACGGGACGGGTAAAAAATCTAAAATGATAATGGAAAATTAAATAGTAATGTTTTTTAATGCAACAATATTATTTCGTTATGTAGGTAAATACATCAAATAAAAATAAAAAAGAGAGACGCCACGCACCTTAAGGTGTCCCTAAACTTATTGGCATAAATTTAGGAAAAAAATGAGCAAGTCAAAATAAGACGAAAACCTAAATAATAGTATATTCTGTAACAAGTTTGGAATTCAGCATATTCCGCTCGAGTGAAGAGTTTGTCACACGAGCCGAAGGCGAGTTTGACGGTTTCACGAGAGCGGAATATGCAATTCCAAACGTGTTTCAGACTATACTTTTTCTACGTTTCCAAAAAATACCATAGAAATATAATTAATTAATTGGAAGAAAGTGAGGTTGGATCGGTCTAAAATTTGTTAGATATTAAAAACAGAGATGTCGCCACGAGTGTTTATTCCATGGAGCCTACACAAGGAGCCCGAACTTAATAGGGAAAATTAACAAAACCTGCCCTCTAAATTGCACAAATTAAGTCTTTTTTTTCACCACCAGCGGCGCTGATTGTTCCTGACGTCCGCTCTTTTGGTAGCGTTTCGGTACAAATTAGTCAATTGTTTCAGATTAAAAGGTACACCAGCGCCTACTTTCCTTAGGAAGATTTATATTTGTTATATGGAAGATTCTTGTTTACATGCAGTTCGAACTCCTTAAGGAGTCCGAACTGCATGTAAACAAATTGCAATTGTGTAGGCTCCATGGTTTATTCTGTCAGATGATAAAATATTTCATTCTGTAACACTTCTGTGGGTAAAAGGCATAAGGGGATAAGTCAAAAAAAGCAATTTTTCAGTAGAGCCTTAAACGTATTCGCATTAATTCAGGAAACATATTCATGGTTAGCGGGTATACCCTTTTGTTAGCACATGTCATATGCTAACAAAAGCGTATACCCGCTAAACATAAATATATTTTCTGAAGTAATGCGAACACGTTAAAGGATCTATTGAAAAATTGCTTGTTTTGACTTATCCCCTTATGCCTTTTACCCACAGACTTTACGGAATACATATGCCTATAGTAAATTTAAAAGTAAACTACGTACAGGTCATCAATAAAACAAAAATTTTACGCATTGGTACCAACACTAAATGACTAAATCGAAGTCTGTAATTGAATATTTGAATGCATTTTAACCAAATTAAGTTGGCAACAATTGTGATGTTGTCATGTTTACATTCAAATTTTTCATATTTAAATGACACATAAAAAAGAATTTGACGTTTTAGAATTTCGAAGCTGTCAGTTGTGTTTTTGAATATTTCGTTTAATTCGTGTATTATTTCGTTTATTTTGTTTGTTGTTTGTGTTATTTTAAATCGTTTAAGTTTTCATTGCCGTTTTTGTGTTTGTTATATATCGTTTTTTGTGTTTCCTATATTTAAAATGCCGAAGCATTTAAATAGTCGGAGTCAAGAGTTGGTGTCATCCTTAATACGCTATTTTGAGGCAGAACGGGATAATAATGGGCCTTTGTTACTTTTAACAGCTGTTAGAGAGGTAAATAGGATTATTATTAATTATATATTAGAATATTTAACAAAATATATATTGGATACATATAATAATAATATATATACCAGAGACTGACTTTAGATGGCAAAATTTTTGGGTTTTATATCAGAAAATGTCTTTAAAAATGGCTAAAAACATACTTTTGGCGGTGCATCATATAGGTTATAAAAACTCAGACTTTTGACATTTTGGTATTATTCATGTAAACGCCATCTATCGCCCTGTAGTTGCACTACCACTTTCCCTTGATGCAAGGATTTTAGCATCACATTGACAACCGTGCCCGATCAGCTGATTGATGACGTGTACGTAGTTTACTTTTAAATTTACTATAGTCACGGCCAAATCTATATGGGTGCACGTCATCAATGAGATATAATGACGTCAGCATTACCAACTTTGAATTGTAAAGTTACTGCCGTTAAATTTGCTTTTTTAAGGCGTAATTCTGATGTGTTATTAAAAAGAAATCATTCATTTGCGTATTGTTTACCAAGAACTGTAACAATTTCCTTGTTTTAAAACGTTTTTTTTACGAAATTATCAAAATAAAACCATTCACTTAGTAAATTTTGTGTGTGCCAGTTGGTAATAGCTTAAGGCTGGCGCGCACCGTTCAATATTATTGATGGGTCGCTGTTATTTTATATTTGACGTATTTTTGTAATTGTGACATTTCGTCCGGAAGCATCGTTTGTTGCAAATTATTATAAATAATATTATACATTATGGTTATAAGATTCTATCCCTGGATTGTGCAAACAATGATATAAGGCTTGTTGGCAACTATAGTTTCGAAGACATTGCGCCCTTAATAATAAATTTGGGGAAATAATCAGACTTCAATTCTGACCTGGTTTGCTCTGATGACAAGGACGACTGGTAATTTATTATTTTTGTGTTTCTGATAATTTAGTATTTTTTTGTTATGTGCATATGTAATAAAAATGTAATAAACTCCTTTTGTTTTCTCTTTAAACACATTTAATAAAAATTTGCCTGTAACAAACTCCTAATTAGTTAGTGCAGAAGATTATAACAAGGACATTTTAATTCCATCTTAATAACAGCCCCCACCGCTATAAACAGTCAACAATACACGAGCGTTAGATTGTGTCTGGGCACGTATGAATAGACCTTAACGCTGACGTCATATGCCGTTGATGACGTGCACCCATACAGATTTGGCCGTGACTATATAGGTACTATGCTCCACACTTCAAAGTCCCACCACGTGACCAGGTACGGAACGCAGTCTTTTGAAAATTTGTCATTTGGGGCTTTTCAGGTTATGTATCTGTCAAAGTATAGTCAATGAAAGAAATACCTAATATTTATACTGTTACCGTTTATGTTTAAGCATTAAAAGTTTATAAATCTTTATAGTATCACAGTAACAATGGTTGGTTTAAGAGTTTAGGAGTATAAATACTGCATTTAATGAAATTCTAAAGTGTATAGTGCCAAATAAGTAAAAATTTTTGTGCATTTGGTCTACATAGGTAATACCTATGTTAATATATATATGTTATTATATCTGGTTTTATCCATAAAATAGTTTTAACTAAACGGCATTTATTAAAAAAATCTAGCTTCTCTATTATGGAATAAGAATATCTGTATCAAAGGTAGGTTAATATATTATAACAAAAAATATCATCTAATTTTAAAATTTTAAGGTTAGAAAAATCTATTTTGATCAAAATAAATAAGTATTTTGGATTATTTGGAAGAGTGTGTTAATATGGTCATATAAATATAGATATACTAAATAATTGTTGAATATGGTTCAAATTAAATTAAAGCTTTTATACTCCTAACAACAAAACTTGTGCATACCTCTCGGTATCCCTACTTTAAGTTAGATTATAAGGAAACAAACAATTTTTAGAGATACATGCAATGTAAAAATTTAATACTCCCATAACATGTGATTTTTGAAATTTTTAAAAGTTATAATAATAAAATTTCGATGAAGATAAAATTCAGTTGAAGCTATACGTAAGTAATTGTTTTGACAAAACTTTATGTAGGTATACTTTAAGCTGGATAAGAAAGACTACTACAAGTAAAAATATTAGATAGAGTATACTGTGGTTTTATTTAAATTTTATAATTTATAAGGTTATTTATACCTAATGATTGTTCGATGTAGATAAAATTTTGTCGAAGCTTTTATAGGTACTTGTATTGACACTATTATATATATTAGCTGACAGTGTAAGGAACTTTAAGAAGGTTAGCTATTGAATTTTTAAAAAGAATTTACAGTTTTTTAAAATTAAGTTTCTAGTGGTTTTTTTTTTGAAATGTTTAATATTGCTTATTTCCAAGAGCCAGTTGTTCAATTATGATGTCTATTTTGTTTTACTCCGGCATAAATATTTTCAACTGTAAAACTTAACTATTTTAAGATTTTTAAAATTAATTAAATATTAAAAGGGGTTAATTTTAAATAAGGAATCTAAAAACAACACCTTAAAATTATTAAAATTTGCAAATTTTAAATAATGTTTTTTATTATTTTACAAATTTCCAAACTTATTTTTTTTCTATATGTGAGTTTTTGAACTTTTATCGATTTTAGATTCTTTAAATTTTTATTTAAAATATATTATTTTTTGTTTATTTAAATAATCAAAGATGTTTATATGTAGGTACTTCAAATAAATAAATATTTATGCCCAAGTAAAACAAATTAGTCATCCGCTACCTAAATGTAAGCTGTAATTAAATAACTTGCTCTTGGAAATAAGCACCATGAGAGATCTCAAATATAAAACCATTAGGTAGGTACTGTAACTGTAAATTGTTTTTACAAGTTTTTTTTGGAAATTCAATAGCTAACCTTCTTAAAGTTCCTTACACTGTCAGCTAATATACCCATAGTGTCAAATTGACACTGTCAATACAAGTACCTATAAAAGCTTCGACAAAATTTTATCTACATCGAACAATCATTAGGTATAAATAACCTTATAAATTCTAAAATTTAAATAAAAACACAGTATACTTTATCTAATATTTTTACTTGTAGTAGGCTTTCTTATCCAGCTTAAAGTATACCTACATAAAGTTTTGTCAATACAATTACGTACCTATAAAGCTTCAACTGAATTTTATCTTCATCGAAAAATCATTATAACTTTTAAAAATTTCAAAAATCACATGTTATGGGAGTATTAAATATTTTTACATTGCATATATCTCTAAAAATTGTTTGTTTCCTTATAATCTAACTTAAAGTAGGGATCCCAAGAGGTATGCACAAGTTTTGTTGTTAGGAGTATAAAAGCTTTAATTTAATTTGAACCATATTCAACAATTATTTAGTATATCTATATTTATATGACCATGGTCATATGAATATTAACACACTCTTCCAAATAATCCAAAATACTTATTTATTTTGATCAAAATAGATTTTTCTAACCTTAAAATTTCAAAATTAGATGATATTTTTTGTTATAATATAGGTAGTGTCTCCCCGACCGTCGGACGGACGTAGAAAAGTGTGTGCTCGACCGTCGGACGGACGTAGAAATGTGTGTGCGCAACCGTCGCATATTTTAACCCACAGACCTACAGTGGTCTGTGTTTTAACCTCATTTTCAACTAGAGGCTAAATGTAGCAAAGTATTCCTCAAGGTTATGACGAATAGCTGTCATTTTGGTTATGCAGGTACACTGCATTGTGCCATACCAAACTAACCCAAACTTAACAACCCAACCCAACCGAATCCGCCCCATTGGGCCCCTCCCGCCCCATTGTCACAATCCAGCCTGCCCTTAGATATATTATACCTCTATTGCTCAATGGGGCGGGAGGGGCCCAATGGGGCGGGGGTCGGTTGGGTTGGGTTGTTAAGTTTGGGTTGGTTTGGTATGGCACAATGCAGTGTACCTGCATAACCAAGATGACAGCTATTCGTCATAACCTTGAGGAATATTTTACTACATTTAAGTCGTTTTTTCGCGTAAATACTATGTAATACTACGGTTAAATAAGTCATGACGTCACAGTTAATTCATATAACCATGGTTAGGTTTCTAACATTTGACATTTGTTTACTTGTTCATAACCTATAATTTTTGAAATGTGTTTTTACCTATTTATATTTAATTTCTATGATTTTACCGGTGTAAATAAATTTCTTTGCCTCTTCTTATACCTAGTATATTCTTTTTCTATAGGTACTAGTTTTTTCAATACACGTTATCTAATTCTCCTACATGTTTAATACAAAATAAGGAAGAATATAAAACAAACCTGAATATAATTCCTCCACTTGTGGAGATTCCACAATATGGAGCACCCTATCATTTATTTTTACTGACAACACCCCATTTACCATTTTAATACAAAGTTTACATTCGGTTTAAGAGCAATTGTACCTACTTAAAATATTTTAAATTTCAAATGTAAACAACTTTTTGACAGATCGAAACAGATATATATATATATTAAAAAGAGAAAGACTATTAACCACGTTGAATAACTAGCTCAGCGATATAGTTTTATGGTCTGGTATTTGTGACGTCATAGTTAGGATTTTTGAACGCACTCTAAACGCAAAAATGCCTTAACTATTAACCAAGGTTAAGTTTAATAACCATAGTATTTCATGGTATTTACGCGAAAAAACGACTTTAGCCTCTAGTCATTTTCACACGTTTGTACGTCCGTCCGACGGTCGAGCACACACATTTCTACGTCCGTCCGACGGTCGAGCACACACTTTTCTACGTCCGTCCGACGGTCGGGGAGACACTACCTATAATATATTAAGCTACCTTTGATACAGATATTCTTATTCCATAATAGACAAGCTAAATTTTTTTAATAAATGCCGTTTAGTTAAAACTATTTAATGGATAAAACCAGATATATGTAGACCAAATGCACAAAAATTTTACTTATTTGGCACTATACACTTTAGAATTTCATTAAACCAACCATTGTTACTGTAATACTATAAAGATTTATAAACTTTTAACGCTTAAACATAAATGGTAACAGTATAAATATTATTTCTTGCATTGACTATACTTTGACAGATACATAACCTAAAAAGCCTTAAATGACAAATTTTCAAAAGACTGCGTTCCGTACCTGGTCACGTGGTGGGACTTTGAAGTGTGGAGCATAGTACATATGTCATTCCATAGATAAAAGTGATATTAGAACGGTCAAATTCTGCAATAGGAGTAGAAAAAATAAATTCAAAGTGCCAGATTTCTTACTTTGGAGTCTCTGGAATACTCCTAAAAAATATAGGTGGTAGATCTACTAACTTTTCAAAGTAAGATTTGATGGAAACTACCACAATCCAATTGTGTGGATTGTGGAAACTACCAACTTTTTAAATTATATCTACCTCCTAGTCTAGGAGTCCTATACCGATTTTGGGTTGGCAACACTGTAGCAGAGACAAGGGTCTTTATAGTGAAGGTAATTCACAGGTTCATTCCAACCAGCAATAATTTCCAGTAATATTACTGATACACATGCGCGTTTGTAAAATGTCGTTCCAACCAACTAAAATTACTAGTTTAGAACTGGCAATTACTGTCAGTTCGTCGTTCCAACCAGAGTTACGAACAGTTAAATTACGGTTCAAACGATTCTTGCTCGAGAGCAAGAACTGTTGATAATAAAATTAGACGCATGCGTAGAAGGGGCACATAACCTCATCTTTTTGTTTATTTATTAACGTTTGTAATATTGTAAGTTTGTTTTCTGTGAAAGTGGACATATTATTTAAAAATGACTGCTATACAAGGTGATTTTATAAATTTTTAATGTTAATACATCTAATTTTTGTCATTTGTGAGCAGGAATGGAACAATTTATTATCAATGTTTGATGTTATTAAAATATACTTTTATATAGGTATATTTATAAACTCAACAAACCTGGGTTATATTTATTTCTAGTAGCAATGTCCCCAATAAAATCTAAATTCCTTGTCATCCGAAGAATCATACAAGTAATTATTTAAAAAACCTGCCATATTTATTACTTTATTGAAATAGATATACCTAAATGCGCTTTACTTAGTTTTTAGCACAATACAATTGTGGGTTTTGGGTTATATTCTTTTTCTTCTGATTGTGAGTACTACCAGTTCCAAAAAGGTTCCAACCAGTTTATACATTATTCAAAATAATTTTACTATTTCTGTTCGCGCAGTCGCATTAACGCTGTTACGGACGATAATATTACCATTGAGTAAAGTCTTCTTTACTCAATGATATTACGGTAATATTACTGCTGGTTAGAATGAACCTAATGTAATTCAAGTGTGACTCACAAGATGGCGTCCATGTAAACGTCACCTGTCATTGTTTTTATTTTTGACAAATCATAATAAATATAATGTTAAAACGTATTTATTTACCTTTATTGTTCTTCGTGATAATAGCAGCAAAATATGGTATGTTGTGTTATAAAGTGGGACCTTTACACTGGTTTTTACGCGTTTTAATTTTTTAGGTTATGCAGACAGAACCAAGGATAAAATGTATTATTTCATTACCAATTCTACAGGGTGTTATAGAAGGATGAATGGGACACATCAAATAGGGTGTACTTGTGAGTATTTAGTAATAATTTTACCATTGATAACCTTTAATGATCATTATATTTGTTTAGCTAAACGAGGGGGTTCTAATGGGGTAATTCATTACTGTGAAAGCGAAAAAGACTTGGATTTTATTCTGGAAAATGGAAAAGCCCCACCTTACATCCCAGTTATGCCCAACAACCTCTTAACATTAAACATTGTCAACAAATTGAAGAAAAATATTCACACTATATCAGGCTTGGTAATACACAATAAAAACACTCCTGAGTACTTTACACATGATAATCAATGTCCAAACATTAATTCCAACCTTAAAAACACCTGTGGCGATGGTAATCCCATATGGAATAAACACGGTACCGGTTTGTTATTCAACAATATTCCCTTTCCATTATTTTTTATTGACAGTGATGAGGATGTGAAAAAAATTAAGGATTGTTTTCAAAAATTCAACAATCATTCATTTGAAACCCAAAATGAACGTACATTGTGTTCATTGCAGTTAAAATCGTTTATGTTTGGGGCTACTAGTACACCAACATGTCAAAGGTAGGTAAAATATCTGTCTTGGTATAATTTTTTTATTTTTGAATGTCAAGATCATTCTCTAAAAATTTAGTTAAAAGAGTGAATATTGTGCATTATCTTGAGTGTAATACTATGCTTTTTCTACTCCTATTGACTAATTCTCATTGGTATTGATTATTGTTAGAAAAAAAAAGTCTTTATTGGGTTAACCAAAAGGCTATCGACCTAGGTCCTTCTGCCCGTTTACAACAAATAATATGTTTCTATACAATGTTAGACATTGAATGTTTTGGTATATACATATATAAAAAAAGAAAAAATTATGTACCTATGTATATAAAAAAAAAAGAAAAAAAAATTAACAAATTTTATCATAATACTCATATATTTTTTTTAATGCTATTCCTTTAATAATTCCCACAAGGTGAGGCTTGGGTTTTTGCTTCTTCTTTGTTCACCTCCCAGATTGATGCACATTGGCTTAGCGTTGTCCAGTCTCTGTAACCAACATTGCTATTTGTAGAGGTTTTTGTTTCAACAAAAAGTGCACAATTTATATTATTGTTTTCTATTGTTGATTAGTAGTTTTCGTTTGGTATAGCTATTGATGTTATTATATATTATTTTTAGAGACACACTGAACATTTTTATCTTCATGTGTGGGTTTTGTTGGTAAGTCTTCATCAGGTTGGTCTAAGTCAAACATTAGTATGTACATTTTATTTGTTTGTTTTATTTTATTGCTTGTGTGTCTCTGCGAAAGTTATTTACGAATCTGACTCTTAAATTTTCTATGATTTCCTCTCTGTTGGTGTTTGTTTTATTATTGGTCGTATTTGTGTATTCATTAATAATGTAGTCATGTTTTGTGATTGCTTCATGTATTTTTGACTTTGTTACATGCCATGCTTGATGGTCAGTAGCCTTGCATGATAAACATTTTGGCTCTAGAGTAGAGGTACAAGTGTATGTTCCATGGCTACCAAAGCATTTGCTGCATTTTGCTTGTGTTCTGCATTCTGATGATGGGTGTTCTTAAGACATGCACTTATGGCAAGGAGAGGGAGCAGGTTTTGGTGGTAGGCTAGGATAGACTGGGTAGTGACAGTTTTTAAAAAACAAACCTTTAAGTAGTTTAAGATATGTCTCTTCATAGGCTGTTATTATTCTTACTAATGTGGAAGGCTTACCAGTGCTTCTAGCGATTAATCGATAATTATTCTCTTGCAGTATCGGTGTTTTAGGACCTAGTGAATACCTTAAAACTATAAACCTAAAATTTAGGTTTATAGTTTTAAGGTATTCACTGATAACCAGGTCTTCAATTTCTATTTCCAATAATGTTAGATTTTATTTAGGAAAAGCTAGTTTGCAACTACCCAATTGGTCCAATTCACAGTGAATAATAAAATTGGCTAATTACTGATGCCTAACAACCAGGGTTATCACCTTATGGAATTTAGAATACAGGACTATGGTTAACATTGGGGTGGAAAGGGGGAAATAGCCCGCTGAAGGCGCAATTCACCTAAGGCAAATTTGTTTTTAGACAAGATAGGGGGATATTGTTTTTTAACTCATGTGACACCTTAAGCTAAAGGATTTTTAATGAAGTTTAGTTTTTGTTGACAAAGAATACATACTGACTAAGTGAAAGTGTTCAGTACTAGGAATTATGTAATAAATAGACTCAGTTAAAAGACTTATCTACTCCTATTGCATAATATTGTTTTTTTGCGTATATAATGATAAATATTATAAATTTCTTACATAACAATGGAAATAATAAACTCATTAATGATAATTATTCAAGTTTTTAGGCATCAGTGATTGGCCCATTTAAATATTCACTGTGTTTTGAACCAATCGGGTTTTAAATTGGGAGAAGGCGACTATAATAATATTTAAAATTGGTAAAAAGTGAGGTTGACCCTTTGACAAGTCAGGTTTTATTTATTTATTTTTGAAAAGCATTTAATTATCTACTCATTCGAGTAGTATTACACTCGAGATTATGCGCATTATTCACTTCATTCCTTCCTTCATTCCTCATTCTCGTGAATAATCATTATCTCACATATAATAATATATTATTATTTGAAATATGATATTATAATAGGTAATAGGCACCTAGGCATTCAATAATTTTAAAATAATAATAACATTAAAAATTGAGAACAAAATCTTTTTATATTTCATTGAGCTTAAAACTTAAACGTATATTTTTTGTTTGATTTTGCTGCCTTAATGAGTTCATTAATTATTTTCAATACATTCCAAAAATTCTAAACAACTCATTAAAATGAATGGATACCTTTAATTTAGCTCTAATAACGTCGACAGAACAACAATGCAAGTCGTAAATCGTTAGCCGTTGGGTAAATTCCGCAATACGTGCATGACTAACGTGCGGATGCTAGAAAGGCGCGATTGCCGATAACTGGGTATTGAGTCAAATTGACGTAAAATACGACGGAAATAATGGATTTCATTATATACGGGTTAAAAATAATGGCAATATTATGGAATAGTAGAATAAAAGAACATTTTAGTATCTTAAAAACATTGTCAAAAGCAAATTTAAGAATGTGAAATATTTAAAATTAAATTTAAGGCAAAAACACATTTTAGAATGTAAGAAACACATTTAAGAATGCTAAATCGCATTTTAGAATGTTAAAAACGAAAGACATTTTAGAATCCCTTGTGGACATTTTTCTCTAAAAAATAAGAGTTTTTTTCCTCTTGGAAACTCTGAATAAGACTTATTAAGTCAGACTACCAGCAAGATTTGGGAGTCTTCTGGAAGAGTTAAGACTTAATAAGACTTTTAGCAGAAAAATGGTAGGTACCTATAGCGATTAAAATAAATATCCGGAATTATTCAGAGGGGTTGTATTTGGTTATTATAAAATAAAACACAAATAAAAGTATTTAATAAATTTTTTTCTGTGTTATAACCCGAGTTTATTGCAGTTCATCACAATATCACAGCTGAACAACAATAAACTTGAATTCTTGTTTTCTAACGGTTTTTTGTGAAAATGGCAATTAAAAAGTTTCTATTATAAATGTGATTTTTTTCTAAAAATATTTTGTCTATAAAATAAAAAAAAATGGAAATTCCAGAAATCTTCCTTTATCTAAAATTATGAATTTTTACTACAATCAATAATTTTATCTTTTTTTTTTTCAATCTACTTATAAACTGTAGACGTAATGACGCACTAGTGCACTATACATACAACGTAATATATTACAGGCAAAAAGACCTATTTCAATTGCCCAGTGTTGAAGCAATAAATTGTTTAATAATAATTAATTTTTGCACAACAAATTAGCGAAATAATAACGAAAAATTTTAAAATGTAACAACAATTTTATATGCGTGAAAACGCATTTAAGAATGCTAAAAGCGCATTTTAGTATGTTAAAAGGAAATGATATTTTTTCTCTGAAAAATATAAGTTTTAAAAGTCTTACTTTCCCTGCTGAAAATCCCGCATAAAAACTTATAAAAAAAAACTTATAAAAACTTATAAAAGTTGATGAGTTTTTATAGGGCCTATGAAACAGCAATTTCTTTTCAAATTCTATAGGTTTTTAAGAGACACTATAGTCCGGTCAAATTAGACATAAAAATAGTGGTTAAATAACAAAAATTCCGACAGAGCTAAATTTTGGTAGAGACCTTGGGTACACCAGTAGAAATAAAATGCCAAAAGTCCCCATTGATCCCATGTGTGCTAAAAAAGTTACTCAAGGTCAAAGTTAAAATTTTCTTTTTTTTTATTTTTCTCGAAAACGGTAAGTTTTATCAAAAATATAGCCCAAACAAAAATTGTAGATCATAAAATTATCTACAAAAACTTTTTTTATACTTTTTTTCCTAAGAATCACCATTCCTAAGATATCGCCATTCTAAAAGTTCGAGGAGTTACATTCTACATGATATGCACACATTTCCACGCCACCTATGTGGTAGTGTACTTGGCGCTTTTTTTTAACGTGGTTTCCCCAGTAGACCTATTCCACGAGTTTTATGGGAACATACTGTATTTACTGCATGATGATTAGTGATATTGATATAGGTGATTATTTTACACTGTAGTTATATTTTACGTTAATATTTTAATCTGATTCATACTCTTCAAATTCCACTTCAACAGTTATGTCTTTTTCCTCTTCTTCTTGCTGGATGTCCATAAATTGTTCAACTGAAGATGAATCAGCAGTCTCTTCATCGATATCAAACGAATCTTCGTCTATATGATTGGATTAAACATTCGAGCAAGACTGGCCTTGGCAATTAGTACACGCTGGTGAACACGACAATCCTACTCTTCTACAGCCACATTTAGCACTACAAACCTTTTTACAATCGCAAAAAATAGAGTTTTTCCGGTGCAGGTGGGAGGATAGTTTGATTCGATTCCAAAATATTGTCTGTTAATTTCCAACCCTAGTCTTCGGGGTTTAGTTGATTGCCTAGCCATGTCTGAACCTGATAAAATGCTCGATACAAGTGTGTGGAAGCCGATGTTGGAGGAAGACAAGATATATCTATACAACTATAGTTGTACTTGTTTCTTGTTCCGTGTATTTTTTTACAAAAGTTAAATATCTATACTTGTCTATACAATCAATTTTCTTTGGAGCTCCATAAACAGCAAGGAGAAAGCGAATTCCTTTTGTAATTATCGTTTGAGGAGAAGATTCAATTTCTTCAAATACTTTAGCGCAATCAATTAAATCCATTTTTTCAAATAATTTTAATACTGATGTTTTACCCCTTCTGAACATTGCTGATGTAGTATCGCAGCCGGTTATCGCATGTAAAAATAAAATATGGTTTTAGCATTTTGGATAAGCAGATAAACTTTTTGAGGAGTATATTTCTGTTCACTGTTGAGCCTTTCCAGGTTTTAAAAAGAAAATAATTTTATCAATTGGAGTCCGTGCAGTAAGTAGTACTAACAAATCAACATCTTTACGAACCACAACGGTTGTATTTGTTGCAT